AACACTCCAGGCCTGGAAACCTACGCCTGGGCTTATGAGGCCCTGCGACTCAAAATAAATATAAACAAAACCAAGATTATGACAACTCAAGTAGTCTTGGATCAGACTGCGATTCGTGTTTAAGGCAATTCTCTTGAATATATTGAGTACTTAACTATTTTGGAAAGTCAATACCAGAGAAAACATTGACGAAGAAATCGAACACCGCATTAGAAATGCTACTGGATCTTCCTGGAAACTTCGAGCCATAGTTTTTGACCACCATGATCTCACTCTGACAACGAAGGCATACGTTTACAGAGCGGTCGTAGTCACAGCACTAACGTATAGTAACGGAAGTTGCGAAACTTGCTAACTTACAGGAGACACATCAAAGCACTGACATAGGTGTTCAACAAAAACATCTGTGACAGATATGCAAATAGAGTGGTAACATAGTATCTAGTCTTTAGGTATTGCACAGAGCAGGTTGTAACCTAAGCAGAAATTAATTTATTGGGCCCATTCCAAAGATCGTCCAACACGACTCAAAATATTGTCTCTTACATCACTATCGTATAGCTTCCGCCAATTGTGGATATTATTACGTAAGTAGGTTCGTAGATAAGTGAGATTATACTCGCCCAAAATTTGTTTATTTATTTCCAGACAATAACACAAAAATCACGAGGAAACCAGCAGGGCATGGTAATATGAAGAAGTGAATGTGGAAATTTATATACTTATAGGTATTTTTAATTCTGTGACAAATTGTCAATGGGATATTTTCATTTCAGTGTTGCCAGTTTTAATAACCACCAAAATTTTTAAATTATTTTTCTGGGGTTTCTTGAAGGGTCCTGATGGAGGACCGCAGTGAAGAGTTCTTACGCTGTTTTCCGGACATCCTGTATATAAAAGGGGAAGACCATTAAGTCGGTCTTGTGTTACTGTAGAACGCAGATGAGTTTTTAGAAGTCTCAACGTAGAAAAACTAGGTCCGTTCTGCAGTGGCTACAAAGGGGAATCGTTGGAAATTATTCGGCGAATTGAAATAATTCGTATCTGTAGTTAGAATGTGAATGCGGAGTAAACATTCTGATGTTTTGTTTATTTGCGTATACTACATGGCTGAGGGGGGGGGGGGCGCAGGGACCACGCCGCTTCTTTATTCGCAGTAATCACATGAGTTGCTTCTGATTTTCCCCAGTTATGCTTCAGCAACTGTAACAGCTTTTTGATTGAGAATTAGAACTACTTTGAAAAATAGTCCATATGGCCGCCATGACAAGTACGAATCCGTTGTTGGCTTAGTTTTTCCTGCAGATCGGGTCTTAGAGCCTAGGTCTCTTCTTCGAAGCACAGAGTTCTCATCTTTTGCACCATTCTTCCACATCAATACGTCAGTTAATATTACTAACGATTGGCCATCTCTTACTCCTCTCACGAGTAATTAATTAATCTCGCCAGGCACAACAAATCCCATAAGCCAGTATCCCTTGTACTGTACTGGACATTCCGTGCCATCTAGGTCATTGTCTGTTTGCTACCCAGTCAAAATTTTCAGTTTCCTTGCATCATTTTGTTCTTTTATGAAATCTTCCAGAAGAAACATACAACAAAGTGTTGTATACACGTCAGGGAACAAGTGGAAGGTTTTAAACTACCAGGGCTAAAGTGATATTTGCAAGGGCGTGTATTTATGTCCGAGGACACTAAATGCATTCCCCTGTCCAATTTATGTTTCAGGGACCTAGCGACCGCCAAATTTAAATACCGAGAAGATGGAAATGTGAAAGAGATCGTCATCGTTTCTGCATACTTTCCATATGAATTGGACTTGCCACCGCCTCCTGTAGAGTTTTATACTCTTGTAAGATAGGTACTGCGTGGCCAACCGCCACCAGCTCTGCTACTACTGAGATGCAAAGGAAATTCACATAGCAGAGCTTGGGGCATCACGAATGACAACTCTTGCGGCAACCTGCTGATAGAATATCTGGTAAGTAACAACCTTTTTGTTACAAATAAAGGAAACGAACCTATCTTCGCTACTGCGAGGCGGTAAGAGGTAATCGACATAACCATGGCTTCAACCGCAACATACGTATAAAGTTAAGAAACAGCGAGTTTCAAATGAACATTCCGCATCTGACCACAGATACATAGAGTTCGAATTATGCAATGTCAATAAGACAATGGCAATATAATCCGAGCAATACAAACTGGCCTGTATATAAGCTCAGTCGGGGTAATCAGAAAACCGCCCAACTAGCACAGATTGTTTCTCAATAGTTAAAATGCTATATAACTGGTGTATTAAGGTCCTCCATAAACAATTTTATCACATAGTGACTGTAGTTGAAACAAAAGTATCTCAGAGACAAAAAAATTACAATAGGTTTACGAAATAAAACTAAATATTTCATAAGAAAAGAAAAAAATTGAAACATCGTAAAAGAAAAACATTCAGAATACCGAAAAAAATATAATTAATTAATTACCATCTTCAAGTTGTTAAATATAAACACACGAATAAAAATCGTAAATTGCCCTAAAATGCAGGCGCGTGAAAATTAGTTAATAAATATACCCATATATTGACAGAAAAATTAAATTGGCAAGTGAAATCAACATGTTTGAAGCTTTAACAGTATTTCATATTTTGTATGATATAGTAATATTATTTTCTGATGTATAGGTAGGTACGCCATTTGTGATGTGCCTAACTGTCCCAGTTATAGTAATTCTGTTTTTTTTTTCAGCTGAAAATATAATGCCAAATTGTTATTGGTAACTTCTTTAAGACAAAATATTTTTATAACAGTATAAAATGTATACCTACAAAATAGCGTTTGAAATTCCACAATCATATAGGTGTTTTATAACTACTCTTATTAAAGGTCTATAGCTGTAGTAAAGTAGTCGTATAGCTGTCACTCACGATCATTATAAGCATTTTAATACGACAGATATATTTTATAAAGTGGTCCGTATTCGTGTTTTTAAGTGTATTATAATTGCCTATTAGATAACTATAAGAATTTGTATACGAGTAAAATGTATTACGAAACTGCTATATAGTAGCATATAAAATACTAATAAACATATTTGTGTTGGTTTGGCGAGAGCGGAGTTCACGACAACTGGTAGAGAGACGCTGGATGCTCTCGTTCAAGTGCACTTTCCGGGATCAAGAATACAGCAACAGGAAGATCACCTACAAGACACAAACCTGACGATCAGGGCGAGAAGCAATGACTGAAGAGTAGCAGCAGTAATCACCAGTCACGACAAAATCAAATGGCCCGTTAGCAAATTTGAACCCCACAAGTCACCGGAGCCTGATGGAATCTACCTGGCTCTTCAGAAGCAGGGACTAGAAATACTAGCCCCACATATTTGTGGTAAGTGTCTTCCGAGCATGCATTGCCATGGACTATGTGCCAGGAGCATGGAGGACAACAAAAGCAGTCTTCCTCCCAAAACCCAAAAGTAGCTTAAGTCAAAATCAAGACAAAAAATCTGAGTTCTCTCGTGAAAACCTCAGTCCTATATTCAAAATAGTTTCCGAGAAAATTCCTTGTGAAGATAAATTATGCAGGAGCTTGTTACGTCATAACCGCCGAAATCGCAGTCTTCTGTTCGTTCAGTCGTCAGTGAAACGTACCCTATACTTGAGTGGTTGCAATTCGCTGTGGTGAGATAATTGTCTTTTGTTTTGGAAAATTCTTACACGTGTTAATACTGTGCCTGATAATTCGGTGTGACGTCACAAACATCTAGCTGTAACTCTAAACCGCCCTAACTCGAAAACGGACCATCGTAGCAAGATGCGGTTTAAATGTTTATTATTAGATTTTTTTTGCACTAAAACTTTAATTTTTGGGTTACACTCCCTTTAGCGCCACAGTTTATCAGGCCGAAATGCATGTAATGCAAGCATGCGCACAGGAGATTCCAAGGCTGAAAGCTCTGAACTCACATCGATTTACTTCGAAGATAATGATGGAATGCCTACACGACCTGGAAGCTCTGTCGTTAAGCAATAACGACTCATCAACACCTCGACTTTTCAGGAAAATCAATTGACTTTTGGCTGTCCAGACCACAGACCTGCAGCAAGATACTCGAAGAGCATAACTGTCATAGATGCTAACAGCTGAAGTACTCGAATGCGTAGTCAGATAAGACGGGTGGTTAATAGTAGACTATTAACAGGACACTGCCATCTTGAAGCGCACATACAGAAAATGAGTTACAATGGCCCAACACCATGTAGACTGTGTGGTGAAGAGGAGGAAACCGCCTTACACATAATATACGACTGTGAAGCACTGGCTCGAGACACAATTTATTTGCAGGAATACAACGCGTCGAGAGACTCTCGCATCAGAAACTTGCCAGCAAGCTGCTACATCTTATCAAGGGGACGGAACTTGCTTAAGCAAGAGGGTGTACCAACCAACCAACACTCGCAATAATTTTTAGAGCTATGGTATAGGACACCTATATGGTACATGATAAACTAAGAAAATAAATCTACTCCGACATTTATTCAGAATACAAAGAATATTGTCAATACGAATATTCAGTGTCTTTAGGTATCAGCTGACACATATAGCGTCATTTCATGAATAACACTCATTGAACTCATTGAGAGACGTAGGACAAACCATAAAGGAGAAAAGAAATCAAATGCAAGACGAGTGCTTATAGACAAATAAGACAAATAATTATTTGTGAAATCCCAGAGGGAAGTTTTCCAGTCGGTAGGCGAACGCCGAACTACGTGGTTACCAAAAAACCCAATCAAGTGTCGCCTGAAAATTTTGTTACCTACTATAATTCACAGGATAAGTTTTACTCGCTACAAAGAGAGGAACAAACATTGAGACGGTAAGTTGGGTTATTTTTGTGTTCAGCTTTGTCCCATAGAATTCTTCAATCATCCCGTAAGTTAAAGACGTAGGTATACACAATTATTCGAAATTTAAAAATGACCTCTACTTAGTACTTACACATCATTTATCCTGCTATCTTCAGCCCTGATTATCAAATTCCTTATTTGACCTAGCCTATCAGCAACATCAGTATCCAGCTTCAATCTAGCTTCTTGAATATCGCTGAGCTTTTGCATTAGGTGTTTCAGGTTGGATTCTTCCTGTACAAATGATGCTTTGGACTGAAATTTAAACTTAGGCAATTTAACAACGGAAAAATTGAAAGCTTACCTCTAAATTTTCCAATTTTAAATAACCAGATAGCGATTGGATTAAGTCGGCAGCCAAAAACATATTGTCCGTAAAAAGGGTGACTTTTCCAGATATTTCAAATTCCATTATCAAATCAGTGTTGTCCCTCAAACATTGTATATTTACAACTAAATTAGGTTCAGATTCAACTTCAATTTCGGTAGGAAATATGAAATTTTGATTGATCCACATGCAAATCCTTTGTAGTCGCTCGTTAATTCTAAATTGAACATGACCTAAAAAGTTTCAATTTCATAAGAAAAACATAGTGAGAAACCACATACGCCAGCAGTGAAACGTCTTTAGATTCTGTTTTAATGTGTATATGCCATATATTGTTTCAACTTATATTCTGTATCTTTATCTTATTTTTTTTTTGTATTGTTTCATGAATAAGAAGTTTCACCTCGAAAACTATACGAAGAAATATTCTGACCTTTAGGCTTGTTTGCTGCATCTAGAGCGTCCTTTATTGCGTACATAGAAAAGCATGGTAGCTGCTTGGTCACCTCAAAAACGTGAAACTGAATGCTACTCGGATATCCAATAAGAGCCTAAAAATATGTTAAATTATGTTTAAAAAAAATATTGGATATTTAGTACCTTCAAATGTATATCAACTGGATTATCTCTTGGTAAATAAAGAGGTATTAACATATCAGAAGATAATTTTGATGTTTCCGGATGTATAACGTGACTTTCATCCTTGAATATGCCTTCGGCAAAAATAATAACTGCTTTGATAATGGTGGAATTGTTTGTACAAATATATAATTCAATACGTGGCTACAAATATATGCGTTTATAGTACTCTTTTTATTTGTTCAAGTTCTCGTATAGTCAATACCTTTTGTCCTTTTTCCCCATTACTAGTACTAACTACAACTTGTAATCTAGTATTAGAAGGAATAACTCCACTTGCTTCATAACTTTCGGTTTCATTTGAAGCATTGGAGTTATATTTCACGTTATTTTCATAGTGCTTCAATTCCATTAAAAGAGCTTGCTTTTGTGATAAAAGATTTTCGATAGTATTTTGTTCGACACTCGAATTTCCTCCTGTCATCGTCTTTGTTGTCGTATAGCCTCTGACTAAAATTGATAGATATAACCTAATTATTGACGACCGTAAGTGGACATTTGTCGGAAAAACCTCACCCAAACTAAATTAATTGAATACCTATAAGTTAACTTGTATTTTGTATTATAAAAATTTGAATAGTTGATTGTGCTCATAATGAAAAATCTACATCGGTCAATATAGGTAGATTACCTTCTCCTTCGGTTGAAACGCATATCAAATCAGTTTTTCCCATTGATCTGTAATCACCCTCAACTATCCCAGCTACTCCAGCGCACATTGAATCCTTAAATAAAACTTCACCAGATTTCATAATCCTACAGTCTACTTTTCCATTTGACCAGCCTGTTATTAACTGAGTGGATGATTGGCCGAGTAAATCATATTCGTGCATGGCAACTGCAAAGTTTTTTGACTGAAAAGATAAACTTTAGTTTAACCATGAGTTTCAGTTTTGTCGCACCTTGTCACCTTGACCCTCCAGAGCCTTATATCCTTTTCATAAACTCCTACAGTGCCGTTAGATACGGAATAAGCAAACTTTTGATCTGGCAACGCTATTAGGCCAGATACTACTTCGGTTTCATTATGTTCTGTTACTATTTTGTCGCCTTTGAGGATTCTGATGTTATAATCTTCTGAACTAACAATTAACTGAAATTTTTTAAGGAATTTGAAACCTTACTTAGGATTTAAGATTATATAAATCAATTTCAATACTGATAATATGAAACTTTGATTAAAAATTGCCATTGAAAACGTTCTTCACAAAAAATGTATTGGCTATAGACACGTTGATCCATATCTACCATAGTTTCCGCAAATACTTTTGTTCTTGGTTAAGGATTGTGATACACAGTTGAATTAATCAGTGTTTTGAGAACAGGTACTGTCTGTATGACCTTAATTTGTGTAGCATATTCAGCACTTGGTTAATAATAATTCGTTAACCAAGAGCATCAGTACTGGCACCAAAGTTTAGTTAAACGACGATTTTACGGTTCATTGTTGAAACAAATTCCCCTCAAAATCCTGTGTTTTGGATGTAGAGATCCAAGTGAACACCATCCCATTTATTTCCCACTTGCGCCCTTTGTTCTAATAAAAATTGTTTGTAGATGAATATCAATAAATTATGAAAATAACCTCATTAGTATCATCTTTGTCATAGTCCATGAGAATCATAGAAGTTATCATGTCACCAATGGCCACCCAAAATACGTCATTGCCTTTATGGTCATATCCATGAATTGAAGAATTTCCACCAACCAAAACAACGGGTGTTTTGAAGTTTTTAAAAGTTCCAATTGTGACTGATCGTACGCCATCTTCACATTCCTTGTAAAAAATGTCTTTGTTATCGTGAACATGGTAGACTAGCAAATTTGTTGGGGTTCCTTGAAAAAATTATATGGTATACTGTTTGGCTCACCATCACTAAAGTATCAGTTGAAGAAAATATTATCACTCACCAATTATCAAAATATCTTTATCTTCGTTTGGTATTAATAATCCTGTCACCAGAGCGGTGATGGCTTGGTTTATGTTAAGGATAGCAATCTCTTTGTTAGACTCTGATTGGATGATTTTGCCAACAGATGAGGTGTTTTTACGATGAGGACTGTGAATTAACACCTATAAGAGAAAATCATGAATAAGCAATATATTTATTAATATTAATTATTTGTGCCATTATAGATACGGGTCCTACTCACTTTGTCGGTATTTGTGGCAGCAGTTAAACAAGGATGTGTGCCATCGTATTTTCCAATAGTCACGAGACCTGGCAAAATTTTATGACCCAATTCTAAAGTAAACACAGGTCGTACTTGTTTTTCCATTTTTAAAAACCTCGGGCTGTCTAAACCCACGAATTTGCCCCTAACTTCTTGGATACAAACATTTTTGTTGCCTAGGGCAACTAACTCCGTGTATATTGATTAGCTTTAGTACAAGGTGTGTGTTGAAAGTAATATTAAGTCTGACGATTTGTAGCAGACCTATGTCTACCGGTGATCAGTAAACTGAGTTTGTAACATTCTGTACACTCAAGAAAATAACCATTGTTAGGTCAGCAATCATATTTAGTTACACATATTATTGTCGCAATACCAAAATATATGGTAATGAAGAATAAAAAAATATATAATAGATAGTTAGAATAACAATTAAATTATTGTTGAAATTATTATGTTTGAATCACAAATATGCCATTGCTGAGGTAACTAAGTATAGATTGTTAAATAAATATATTGTCGAAACAAATATAAAGTACCTATTGCTAAAAACATAATATTGTAATGGCAATGATAGGCTATATTTGGTTTAATTATATAGAATCTAGCTACCGAAACAATACCGTATAGGTAGGATAGATGTAACTGTGTGATTCCGATACCGATACCGGTCAATTACTTTAGCGATATCATTACCGTATATGAACGGGTATTTTGTGGAATCGACATAAGTTCATGTTGCTCTAACAACACGTTTGATTACTAGTACCATACGTACCCGGGCTTTAGCCTCAGGCGCCGACGCGTGATGGCTGCAAGCAAGTTATTTCACCCTAACACACCAATTCAATGGCCAGGAACCAGGAATAGTTTCTCTCTTACGAGTGCGTTCTCTTACTTTTTAACAATTTGATTCCCCTTCTAAAGCCCTTCTATACCAGGTGTCCCACTAAGGTCGGCCAGGTACGATATTATGGAAACCATAGACCTTACGGCTTCGGGATTTTTTTTTTCTCCACTAAATCGGCCAAGAGAAATTGATGGAAATTATTTTCAAGTTTCTAGGATGACCGCTAGGGGGCGCAATTACGATGATATAGCTAAAAATTCAACTTTTCTCAAGAAATCGCTATATTAAGATACTGTTTTAACAACAGAAATCAAAAGTTCATTAATTTTTGCGCCAGTTTGGTTATTAGGCTTTTTTTCGTATCTTCGGTAATAAGGGTGGGGGAAGCTGGTGAAATTTTTTTTTTAGAAATTGCTGTATCTTCCATACCCCTCATTCAAACTCATTTAATTTGGGTTTATTTGGAAGAGAATTTCATTGTTATTGAGAACACCACTTCATTCGAGGTCGATAGTTCCCACTGCGTCTGCTAGAGGGCGCTGTATATTCAAGATCCAGTTTTTCCTAATTTTCATGAAAAATCCAAATGGCATAATATTATTTTTGTATTGCTGTGCTTAAAGAGCAAAAAAATATCTACATTTTGGCGCAAACCGCAATTCAATATCTGCATTTGTTTTCAAGTTACGTGAGGTCTATGGTCTCCATAATATCGTACCTGGCCGACCTTAGTGGGACACCCGGTATAATATTTTATTTGTGTGTAAACGTAAACGTGAACCTCGTGAACTGTTGAAGCTCGCTGTGGAGTTATTCTAAACCAAGTAAGTGAATACTCCAAATATGTTTGTTGATCTATTTTTTTTTTAAGTTTACATAATATGCATATTTTTAGGTATAGTGAGATCCAACCAAGAAGAAGCCATTGACGTCGTCATTTATGAAGAAGGGAAATTACCTTTTCTCTAGGGCCCTCCCATTTGAAGTGATACAAACGATAACGCGTGTGTATTCTAACTATTTCGGTTTTGTATTTATTTGCAAAATAATTTTTTTAAATATTTTAAAATTGTTTTTGTTGATCTCCTGTAGGAACCTATTTAAAAAGCATTGGTAATTCTAACAAAACACATTGTTAGAAGAGCAATAATTGGCATTGAAAAACTAACTATACATTATTATTGTTTCAACAAATGATGTGATTGATTGCAGATAATATATAATGGTTAATGGAAATTAGTAAAAAGGTTATTATATCAATACTAGATTGGAAAAGCAACAATATTTTTGTTGTTTTTAAAATATTTACATTTATGAGAAGCATGCAGCTTTGATAGGACAAGCAATAATATAATCTAGTTGAAAAAAACAATAATATTTGTAAAGTAACAATAATTAACAATATATGTATTTATGATTCATTCAACTATATGTGTGGTTGTGCCTAGGTATATCAACTGTATTATGCTCGTATTACATCTGTGTATTTTTCCGTGTATTTATTCATGTAGTTCAGGGTGACAACCGAAAAACTTCAAACGTATTATAAGTCAGCATTATGAAAAACAAAATAATGTTGGCACCCTGAACTACATGAATAAATACACGGAAAAATACACAGATATAATACGGGCATTACATTGTTGCATTATACATATTTCTGGTTGTGATAGCGAAAATTTCTCAGAGTGTAACTTTCAATGTTGGTAAAAGTGTGCATTTGATAGGTCTCTGTGAAACTCTATTTCTAGGCCAAGAAATTTTTACATTTTTTAATTATACCTAAAACATTAATAATGATGCGGAGCTAATTAAACAATTGCACACTTCGATAATATGTAGGTATGTAGGTTCACTATAGTAGCTCGACAGGTATTTTTTGCGCCGACACCTATATGTTCCGACCGTACAAATTCCGATAACTTACCTAAGGTCACCAAAATCAAACTTCGTATAAATTATGTAACTAAACCGAATGATCAACGCGTATTGTGCCTTGTGCCGACAAGTATTTCTCCTCGATACTCGACCAGCAGATTTGTCCTGACAAAATTTATCCTTACAAATGTTTCCTTCCTTGTTGATCTGTTGAAACAAATTTCAGTCAAACTACTCCTGCGTTTTGAAGGTAGGACTCTGAGTTCAACACCATCGCATTTTGGAACGTTTCAAAGCCGTAGAGCGTTGTTACTTCTGTTCACTGCAGTGTCTAAAATCTGATTGCGCATCATAGAACTCAGACAGTTAGCAATTTATAATATTAGATATTATTTATTTTCTCGATATTTTCAAATCCTTCACTGTTAAGGGTATATGTGGAGTTTGACTTTGGTAAAGTTGTATCTTAATTTCTACAGTCGAGACAGAAAGGTATCTACGTCAAACCATCCAAAGACCTTCTGACAATTATTTAAAAAAAAAGCTCAGCTAAACCAAAGAATATGTTTCTGGTTACACAATATTGCCGATTTGCTTGCTCATTTTCTAACTTTGCCTGTGGCGATTTCGAGCAGTTGTAATGTTGGAAATGTATCTTTTTTACGATGATTCACTTTCTGATTACAGCATAGATTCATTCCACCACCAGTGCTAGTGCAAAAATATTCATTTCAGGAGCGGTTTTGGCGTGGTTATGCCAAGGCAAGTTGGTCCATGCAGTCACCCCAAGAAGAGATGATGAGATGAGGGATTGATAGCAAGGTTTGGTCCCGACATCCCTAAAATTGGGTTGTCATCGGCGGAAGATTTCTCATTTGAAAATACTGTTGCTTGAGTTTTGGAAGCCTTGAATTTGACTAGATTGTTAAGGCACCATTTGGTAATAATGTCACTGTTGAAAGAGTAAATCTGTTATCGGCGAGGTATGTGGAAGTGGCTACAGTGAGCGTTTTTTTAGAAGAGAAAGATGCCATCAAGATACTATAGTCCGCAAAGGTGTATATGGGGTTCTTGTTGGATTTAACAAATCACAACTTTTACTTTTACTTACTTGGGTTCAATCTCATGCGAGGACATGTTTTTCAATAAATCTGTTAACGAAGTGTTAAATATTTTCCATGATGTATCGTATAAAACTTTTGACATCTTTGTACCAATCAGAAAAATAGCCACTAGAAAGTTTCCCAAATGGATCTCACAAGACCTGAAAGCACTTACCATACAGAAAAAAATCGCCACTGAAGCAGCCCTATAACATAGCCTTAACACGTTCTCTGCCGGGTCGGTCAAAATGACCGAAACGAGTCCTGTCAAATCAGGCCAAGTCGGTCATTATGACCGCAAAATTCGTCAATTCTATTTTTGCTTCCAGCCAATGACGATGACAGCCGACAAACGATTGACACAAACTAAGGATTATAAGCAAAGAGGATTGCCTATTATTGTCAAGCGTCGATACCCTTGTGTCTTCGCTACAGATGCGCATTGTGCGTCTTCATTTTGTGTGGTCCTTCGTCCTCACCCCGACTCATACGCTAAGTTTAAGGTGTATGAGAAGGGGTTAGTTTTTAAGAAGTTTCACTTCTACCACGTGTACAGCGCTGCACATAATTTTTTCTTCTAGATTTTTTCCACACGTTAGTCTTATTGAAAACATTTACTTATAAATATAGAAGTAATGACATGAACTATGTGGAAAAAAAAAAGAAGAGTTAAAATATAAAAGAAATGACATTGAAACAGGACCGAAGTCAGGACCAACGCGGCGTACAACGGCCAATTCGGTCAAATTAAACCTTCCTTTCCTCGTCAATTATTTTGGACGAAAGTTCAAAAGATTTATTTAATTCCATTTTTGATAACATAAAATGATAGAACGTGTTTCTTCTATTTCTAAAACACCTTTTTCATTTACTTGATTGTCTGTAGGTGGTGAAACACAAGGTCTATCATCGTCAGAAGAATTTGTATGTATTCTTTTCATCCAGCAAGATTGTCTTCTTGTTACGGGATGATTTTTCCCGCACCAAAATAAAAGGAAATAAGCGTATTCGCCTCAATGAATAGCATACCTTCGTCAAGCCACTGTTGTCTTTTCAATAGTTGTTGCCAAACTTTTCATCAAACTTTTCATTTTTCCCAGAATCATTAAGTTAGAGGTTTATTAATGGAATTGATTTTCTGTTAGTAGGGTTAAAATAAATAGATAATTAATTTATTAATAAAACAAAATCACAATATTTACACTAGAACAGCTGATTGTCTGATCGGAGTAGATTGTCTAGATTGACAGCGCTCCAAATAGGGTCAATGACTGGTACTAACTTAACTTGAATAAGTCCCATGCCCCAACTACCATCAAAATTCCCCAGTACCTTCCACCTTGGAGTTTTGACAGAACCTTTTTAAAGGACATGGCAGGGACAAGCAGAGGTCATTCAGGTCGAGGACTTTCCACGATTAAGTGTTCGGGAAAACTCCTCAGGCACATTTTGCCGATTTCTGAGTTGCCAAGTTTCGCTCATAGATCTAGGGTGGCTAATGCGCTATTTTAGCACCCAATCGCCTTGTGCAGATTTTTTTGTGAGTCGAAGAAGAGCAACGTGGTCAATTGTTTGTTCTTAAAGGCCAAAAGTAATTTTGGTAAGTGGTTTTTCTTATTAATCTTCTCTGTGTTTCTCTATTTCCTATGTAAAAGCATAGTTTTCTGTTAATTATACGGTTAAATTCCGAATATCGGACATACCTACCTCTATTGCTCCACGCCCTGTCTTATAACGTCCATTTGTTTCAGGCCTTTATTCATCACCTTTAGAAGTTACACTTTAATCTTTACCCTTAGATGTCCCCTTTTATTCGTCACGCTTCAGTCCCTAACTTTCAGTAAAGAGTTATACGTTAAGCTTACTGTATACTTCGAGTAGGACCTACAATCTTCAGCCTCCTTTAGACAATTGGAAGCCTTAGTGCCCAGGGCCAGTTGCTTCTTGTTGCGGCCTTGATCCAGACCCAGGCCATCGGAACCACTGGAAGATATTAGTTCCATCCGTCAGGTTCCTCCAAGAGTTTAGGGACTACTCAGGTTTGATAAGTGTGTTGTATTGTCTTAATATCAAACCTTACCAACCCCTTGTTGGAGTAAATCACCACAACATCGCAGTTCTACTATATTAAAATTATCCTTCAGATTAGATGTTATTATTTCAGTTTTAATCAATTATATATCTTACCTTTACTATATGAAATTTACCATTCAGGTTGGGTATTGTTAGGTACTTCAATTTTATTAGGTATCTAGGTATTTATCCTACCTATATTGTTACATAATATTAAAGCCCTTCAGGTTACGTATTGTTACTTCAACTTTGATTAATGCTGCACTGAATACAGGTAAATACTTGTACACTGGGGTTAATTGGCCATTTACGAAGGTACTGCATTTAGTGAGCTTGTATATTGATCATTTATATTTCAGGTATTATTGCTGTTGTACGGTACTCTTTACTTTAACGGACTCGAGTTAATTTATTGTATTTATTATTTTTAGAGTATATAGGTTAGGTACCTACTCCTAGTTTCTAGGCGATTTCTTTACTTCTTTGAACCTGTTCTAGAGTCAGCCTGTTCTGGTTCTAATTAAAACAGTGGCGCTCTATATTTAGTTATTTAATTAACCCACCCCCTCTCCGCATTGGAAGCTAGTCGGCAACCCTTTACACGAAATCACGTTTCTAGATTTCAGCCACCAACCAACTCTCTCTCTTCTCTCTTTATTTCTCTGTTTTAGTTACCCATTCACTATCTCCCTTCCTCAAATCTTATCATTAACTTCTCCCTTACGTTTTGCGGGTAACAAAATGGCAGTGCCCGTCTTGCCACGTAATATTCTGTCCTCAGAATTATTTCGTTATTATTACCCCCCAAGATTGTTTCTTGCCGCTTTCGGTGTCTACCTGTCACTTGCGGACATTAAAGGCACTAAAGGTGTCATATCTTTCCTAAAGTTGTTCAATTTTGTGACATTTAGACATTTTGACTTTAGCTTCTCTACACTTTTTCCTAATGATTTTATTCGGTTTCTTGTATTCTGTTGGATTTGTGTTTCCGTCTTTCATTCATAAGTTCCATGATTTCTTGTTTTATCCATTCTTGGTTTCTGTTGTTTTTCGTGAACCCAATTTCTTCTTCTTGGATCTTTGTTATTTTCATTTTCAAAGAATTCCATCGTCCTCTCTCTCTACCGGTTTTGTTATCGTTACTTTTTGTCTTCTGAGATTTGTCAGTCGTCCGACGTTAATGTTTCTTGCCACTTTCTCTCTTCTAACATTCAGGAATATTTTGAGTCTAAAGGTCATTAGAACTGGGTTCATATTCTTGAAACAGAGGATCTGCATTCCCAAGAGAACGAGTGTTCCGTCTTTCTCAATAATATGCAACTGATAATATAGTAACAAAGACGGAACACTCGTTCTTCTGGGAACGCTGCTGCCCTGTTTCAAGAATAAGGACCCTGGATGATGTTCACTATAAATGTCTCCAGGGTAGGTTTTTACGGATTTCATATACTGCTTGAAGTTCATGTCGAGTAGAATGAAATCAATTTGATTCCTGACAATTCTTGCTAGTCGTAGGAGACAACATAGGGGCAGTTATTGTCTCCTTCAGCGCCATAGCCAACTTTGGCATTAAAGTCTTCTATGATCATCGTTATCTCTCCTCTCTTTGTCAGTCGCATTATTTCATCTATTCTGTGATAAAATTCTTCGATCTCTTGACCTGACTTCTCGCTGGTTGACGCATAAATTTGAACTATATCAAGGCCTCTATGAATTGTTCGTAGTTTCAATAGCGCTATCCTATCCTTGAGAGGGACGAAGTCTATAACCGACTGTGCTATTCTATCTGAAATAAGTATGGCTGTTCCATATTGATGTTTTAGGTCAGTGTCACCCGAATAATAAAATAAATGTATCTCCCTTTGTTTTCCAAAGCCAGACTGAGGGCCATTCTCTTGTTCTCGTCTGCCATTTAGATTTTTGGAAGGGTAACTACAGTAAGGTTCCGTTCCTTTTCTATACTGCATTGAAAACCGTTTTCTGCTGCTTCAGCTGCGCTTTTCTGTGTTCATTACTATACCGTTTCAAAGTTATTCTTCTTGCGCTATAGTCCTATTCTGGGTCAGACGCTACTCGATTGTTAGTTTTGATCCGCTACGGGTATTGACTTCCCCAGTACCACCTTTTTCTTGGAAGCATTCCCTTATCTGCCACGAGGCGCCTGATGGGGATCTTACCACCCCGCACTGGGTCCCATTTCTTGAAAAATATCTCATACGAAATTTGATATGATTTCGGATGCTTCCCATTTGATTTACATTGGTGTGTCGAATTCGAATCATATTTCGAATGCGATATTTTCTGAGAATTGTGCCACTGGTCCTTTTCCACGTGAGGTAAACATCTGATTTTACTGTTGGTAGGTAGCATTTTCTACAATAATAATAATGGCACGTTTGCAGATGTTACAACAATATCGATCAAAGATCCCGGATCAGTTTCGACTAACTCTCAAAGACCACCTCAACCTTATCGAAAGATGACTTCCCATACACCTTACTAAATAGAGGAATAAGAGTTGAGAAAACCTCATTATGCATCAAATAATATTCAATAATAGCTTCAACAGCGACAAGAGAAAAACCTTTTCCATGTCCACTCGAATCAGAATGATCGAGTTTTTCAGGAATTGGCATCTTGAATATAAGCTTATAGTTCTTTTAAATGAAAACATTTTTTACTTGTTGACCTAGTTACATACACACTTTAATTCAATTATTCACACACATTGCTCTGCTGTGTCAAATGGTCACTTGCTCCACCTACCTTATTCATTTGATAACCACTTGCGTCTAGTTGAATTTTTAATACTTTGCTAAATATCTGCGTTTACCTTGAATTATTAAAGAAAATTCATGAAAAAGTATGCGCAAAACAAAATGCGTTTCATTGCAAAACGCATTTTGCTGTTGAAAACATGTACGTTCCAAAGAAAAACGAAGCGTTTTATGTCAGCTTGAAGTTTTTGAACATTGTTAGGATTTATCCATTTAAGGCAACGGAAAACGGAAGGTATTTTCGTTTCGTGCGTTGGGTATTTTTTACTCTTATTTTGGCTGAGGTTATATCTCATGTAATCATGGCACTCAAAGGTAATTATTGTGAAATATGATTTTCATTTGGCTTTTTTTTTACTAAAAAGCAGAGTTTTGCGTCAATTCTGGTGCGGAAGAATTTATGAATTAACATTTTAATTAGTAGGTAGTCAAAACAAAATTTTTCATTTCATTTTCAGATCAAATCCCTATTGATTTATCCGAAGACATTGTAGGGCTTACAGCATCGGTGAATTGTCTTCTCATAACGTTGATTTTTGAAACCCAAGTGTCTAGATGGTCGACATTACTAATTGACGTAGCTAACGTTTCCAAATTTGGCGTTCCTCCGAATATGGCTACTGCAGTAAAGAAATCTAGCCGTAATGCATTATTATTTTTTGCTTACGCCGTTTTCGCTGTTAGCACCTACTCTGTAGTCTCTGTATTCGTCGAGTCAGGTAAATTTTTATGGTTGTTTTTAGGGATCTATATAACTTAATTCAAAGAAATCGTCCATGGTTCTCGAAGAAACTTAAATAAATGAGAAGAAAATCAAAACCCAAAGTCAGAGTCTCAGGTATCTATTGATTAGGTATTTCGCCCTTGTAGGGCATCATCTGAAATTGTTCCTTTCTGGAATGAAGGAAACTGTTATTTAATGGCGAATCAATGTGCGGCCCAGTTCTATTAAGAGCAGCTGTCTTTGAAGTGACAATATTTTATTTTCTGTTTTGACATTCAGCCGTTTTGTACCAATTTTAAAAATGGAGACGGATAGTGTATACACCTCTGATGTATCCCCACCCCTCGAGGAGCTCACCACCCCTGCCTGATCCATGGGGGTCTTGTCATCACAACAAACATGTTTATGAATGAGATACGGTGTCTATCTGTGTTGAGATGTGATTGTTCTGCTATTCGTTATAGGGCTGGACAGCACATCGATTTGTCCTTATTATAATAGTTTGTTACGTACAAATTTTGCCTTAGTACGTAACTGAGATTTCGAATGAAGTCAGTAGTTAATTCAGGTATTTGTGAGGGTATTTATGAAGCCCTATACCTAAGGTTTATTATTTTTCACAATTTCTTTTTTCAACATATTGCTTCGGCAACTGTGTGTCTTTTGTTTTTAATAAGTTTAGGTTATTCTTCCGGGTATTGTTCACTTGTTGATAACCTAAGTATATGTTTTTCTTTGCAGGTCCCATGATGGCCTCTAGAAGGATGACAACATCATGTTTACCTTTCGATATATACGTGAGACTTTACCTTTGAAATGTACCTACTGTTTTTCGCTAATTTATAATTTAGTAACTGTTACTCTCAATCATCCTCCACTAAGTTTCGTGGCCTCCAATCTCTACGGTCGGCCCAAATCTGTCGGGACAAATACGCAATACCAAACGAGTTGCAGCGCGATGAAAAAGATGGCCAGAACTTATTCGTTAAAATTTATGCCATCATGGCCAACTTTCTTCTCGTGCGTAGCTACTAATTTATTTTTTAAACACAAGTTCCTACCCATTTTTAAGCCTAAAATTCCCCGTTGGCGTATTTCCTGATAAGTGACGAATTATAATGAATGAAACTTTTTTCTGCAGGACTTATTTACATATACAATCAAATTGACAAAGTAGTGAATACTTGATTGTATACCTTTTATTATTATTATTTTTATTTTTTTTTATTTAGTTAGATGTGACAAATTAAACAAAGAAAAAGGACTTCGCGAAATATGTTACACAATCACACCATTTTGGTGGCCCTATGGTTTTAAAGAATTCAACCCACTTTTTTATCTACTTATAAATGCTCATCAATATATAACATTAAGTAAGTATTTTACTGTAAAATTTATAGCCAACTTAAAAAAACCACTTTGTGTCCTCATACTTTTGATATTTTGTTTAAGTGTTGTGGTATCCTGTTGCTGCAATGATAATATTTATTGCTGTAGAAGCTGTCGCAATCATTAAAGCCAAAATAGAGCATATGCAAGAATTATTTGAAGAAACTTTCGCAACTGAAGATTTTAGTTTGCAAAGAAAGCGCATGGGAATCTGTATTCGATATCATCAAGAAATAATAAGGTATAACGACATCGATTAATTCTGCCACAATATAGACCTAATATCTTATCATTATGAAAGTTATATTTTGCAGCTGTTTCATGTTATAAGAGACTCTATTTTAATACAAAAGTTATATTGCTATACTAAACCATCAAATAACGAGACAATTTATTGAAATAGTTGCAATATTCAAATTCCACAAGTTTTATTATATTATTATCAAATTCAAATTCCTGATAAGTACGTTTTTTTTTTGCAGGCTTGGCACAGAAATGAATGTACTTTTCAAAAAATTGTTCGGTCAAATGTCTTTTCTGTCTGCAGTTGTTGTAAGCTTTATTTGCAATCAAATATTAAGGGTAGGTTTTAATTTTTCTCTATCCTGTCTTTTTTTGCTTATTTGCAAATTTGTTCCATTTCAGCAATATTCTATAGGAGCCACTCTTCATTTAATCGGTTACTGGGCTGGAATATGTTTCATATGTCATATTGGACAAAACGTTTCAGACGATGTAAGTGAACTATTCAGAAGCTAAGGCTACTTTATCCAGGATTGTTGAAAGTCTTGCATTTATTCTTTTCATTTTGCTCGTTACATTGGGAGAAATTGCATACAAACATGCGAAACTCGAAATGAAAATTCTTGGTCATTCTGAATAAATAAATGTAGCATGACTTTTTGACGTAACACGATATGACTCAGTTATTATTTTTTAGACTTACTCTGTTAAAGATAGGGCTTATTCATGTAAATGGTATTTAAATGACCCAAAACTAGCCAAGGATTTACAGTTAGTCATTCTACGGTCTCAGAAGCCAGTTTATATGGAATCCATTCCTTTTGGCAATTTTAGCTACAGCATTTTAATAACAGTAAGAGAAGTTTCTTTCAAATATTTGACCATATGGAATTATATTTTCTTTTCTTTTTTTAGATTATTAAAACTGCTTATTCTTATCTAACATTGATTAATAATACTGGGTAAAATGTGTAGTTTGGTATCCTACACACCTTAATGCAGACTAAAATCCAACTATATGAAGAATAAAGGCATTAAATATTGATAAATATTAGAGTAATTTCCTTTACAAGCGCTATTTATAATTAAATTAATTTGCTTTATATTTTTGTTGATCAGTATAGCATGCTTAACTAAATCTAGAATACGCTTAATATTACACAATACACCGAGTTATAACGAACTATAATAAATAAACAAATTGCAGAATACAAAATCCTACTTGTATGTTTCTATTAATTTTTTCTTAGGGACTGTTGAAGAATCTTTATTGAATTTATGTTAGCGTGTAATTAATTATTAATTAACGTTGGTTTAACTAAAGTTGGCATCGAAAGACCGAAACCCACTAGCAACACGCCACGCCACCCCACGCCATGTGACACAGGTTCACGTGGGACAGTTTGTATGCAAATAGACCGATAGCGTGGCGTGGTATCGCGTATGGCAAGTGTGTACGCAGCACATATAAATAAATGGAAGAATATACGCATACATTTTCGTAACATGGCGTGGCGTGGCGAAGCATGACGTGGCGTGTTGCTAGTGGGTTTCGGCCTTTATCGTTGGTGACAATATTTTTGAATTTGAAGATTATTATTCGCGCGCATAGCATTGATTATTTTTGATAATATGCACAGGTTTGAATGGTAAAACTCACATACGTCACCAACGCAAAACCTGTATCTTTTTGGTACTACATACGGGTCCTTAAAATAGTGAAAGCATTGCGATTGAACCCGTCTGACAACGCACCAGAAAGTACCGTCGCGCGTGAAGGCATGCAAATTTTCTTGCCCTTATACCTTTTGTTATTAAATTTAATTTGTGGTGACAAAACAACTTTCGGCTTACAAAAAAAAACTTTACTAACTCAACTATTGTGCTGGGTGGATTGAGCAACCCAAAGGAAGTGTTCAGAGGGCCCTCTTATTCAAGAATTTAGTGATACGCTTCAAGATAGGTGAGTGAGTTCTTATTAAAATCAAATTTTGTGCATATCGCGATCGATTTGATTACCCCAATTATACAGTCCACTTATTATTTTCATATTTCCCGCACATTTTGGTCCTGCGACCCGGATAAATAATAATTTATTCTAGTTTTTTCAGAATTTATGTAAAGCTCAATAAATACTTCAAAAATATTGTCACCAACGATAAGATGCCAACTTTAGTTAAACCAATGTTAATTAATAATTAATTACAGGCTAACATAAATTTAATAAAGATTCTTCAACATTCTCCCCACCAAAACGAATGTTTTTTAACCAAGAGGAGAAAGAGAAAAAAAATAAAATAAAAGAAATAAAAATTAAATAAAATTAGGTAAAGCTTATATCCATGTATATCTAGGATATTCCTACAAACTGAATTTTTAGGTCTACTTGGATTAGTTTCCAGGTAGTGGACAAATTTTGACTACCGGGCGTTGAAAAATACCATGGTTGGTTTTTATAGTAACCACTCTGATAACATCATCCTTCCCGGGATGCGAATCTAAAATTCGTCCCAACTCCCAATGAAGTGGACTTCTCTGTTCATTTTTGATAAGGACTAAATCGCCTTTAGCAATAGCAGGTGAGGGATCAGTCCATTTATGCCGTTCTTGCAGATAGTGAAGATATTGTTGGGACCACTGGTTCCAAAAATCTGCCTGCATTCGTTGAATCAGTTGCCAGCGAGATAACCGATTCAGGGGTACGTGGTTTAAGTCAGGGTCAGGAATAAAGCTATTTAAAGGCTCCAACACCAGAAAATGCCTTGGAGTTAACGGGTGCAAGTCGTTCGGATCACTGCTAACCGGGCACAAAGGCCGAGAGTTTAGTAGTGCTTCGATCTGAATTAATAATGTATTTAATTCTTCGTAGGACAAAATCTGAGTCCCCCGATAAAGGTGACTCTTGAACGATTTTACACCTGCTTCGGCTAAACCATTAAAATGCGGAGCTCCAGGGGGATTGAAGTTCCACTAAGCAAGAAATGTTTCAGAACTAAGGTCAGAGGTTAATTCCAAGTGAATTGCCTTGGTTACTGTGCAAACAAATACGCACACGTAACCCTTGAATGTCTTGGCTCCACGATGTTTGTTTATAATCAAAGAGAATGGACCAGCGAAGTCTACACACACAGATGAGAAAGCCTTAAGCTGTGCAACTCAAGCCGGCCACCAACTCTTAGCGCACCCTCATCGTCCTTGAATACCGCTAATTTTCTAAATGGCTTAGGAAGCAAAGTATCTTGTTGAATTTTTTGAAAAATATCAGCAAAAGCATGTTGTTGAACAGTCCTGACGATAGCTTTAAGCGCAGCTTCGGGTTCAATACCAGACAAGGGTAGAAAAACTTTAGACGTTGTCTTTAAATTCAGAACAAAACGGCGAACGTAAGCGACTATTCTTTTTATCTTTTGTAGCAAAGAATATTTGTCTAATAGGGACAGAATAAAGTTACGGGGAAGAATTGAAACCTGTAGAGCAGTTTTTTGTTCTTCCGCAGAAACATCAATGTTAGGACTGGATAGAAAATCGGGTTGGATGGGCCAACGGTCTTGAGAATGAGACAAAAACTCAGGACCAGACCACCAAATGGGCGTTTCTAGGAGCTCGGCCGGGATCTGGCCCCGACTGGCACAATCAGCTGGATTTTGAGCTGATGGAACGTATTTCCAGGACGACTTAGGAATAAGTTCTTGCACATGGCTTACTCGATTCGTGACAAACGTTTTCCATTTGTGCGGGGAGGCCGATATCCAGGCTAAAACAACCATGGAGTCGCTCCATGCGTGAATGGCGTCAAATAAAATCAAATTCGCGTAACTTTCTTTTACGAACGAAATTAAATTGGCTAGTAGGCAGGCCGCCAACAACTCTAGACGAGCAATCGACTGGGAACCAGAAGTATCCAGGATTCGAAAATATACAACGCTGGCGTAGCCGACTTGGGAGGCATCGCAGAAGCCGTGCAATTCGATGCGTACGATAGAGGCAGCTCCGATATATCGAGGTATCTGGATACGTGCTAAATCAGGCAGTTCGGATTTGAACTTAGTCCATGTCGTAATGATGTCTTCCGATGGGATTTCATCCCATGAAACTTGAGATTCCCATAGAAGCTGTAACAGACGTTTCGCTAATAAGAGACATGGGGATATGAAATATTCGACTAATTTCGGATAAGATGTGACGCTTTGAGCAAGGCCTTTCTAGGGGACTGTAGCTGTACGAAAAATTATCTGACGTAGGGACCCATTTTAAATCTAAAACCTTAATAAAGGAAGGTTCGTCCTTGTCAAAGGTACATGATTGTTGTATTTCTGAAAATGGTATTTGAGCAAGAAGGTCTGGACGATTGCTTGCCCACTTTCCCAGCTCCAAGCCACCCTTTTTAAAGAGTTCAATAAGTTCAGCTTGTAATGATATAGCCGACTCTAAATCGTGTGTACCGATCAACCCGTCATCAATGTAGAACCTAGTGAGGACAGCTTCAGCAGCTTTTGGAGATTGAGTTTCTCTTGCTGTGCAAGTTCTCGAAGGGTTCGAAGAGCTAAAAATGGTGAACAAGAGACTGCATATGTGACCGTTTTCAAGAAGTGTATTCTTGAAGTGGCTCAGAAGAAGTGAAACGCCATAAAATGCGCTGATAATTCCAGAATTCTGGCTGCACGTTAATCTGTCGGTACATTTGTTTAATATCGCAGATAAATACATACGCGTAAAAACGAAATGACAGTAATAGCTGGGAAATATCGAGTTGGAGTTTAGGACCTACAAGGAGAGTGTCATTTAGTGAGAGTCCTTTAAGATCGCGCATACTGGCATCGAAGACTACCTACTCTTATTTTCGAGGTAGTTATAGAACCACAAATTTGTTCCTTAAAAACTGCATGATGAGCAATATAATAAGCGGTAGCTGATCGATATTCGTTTTGTGGTACTAAAGACATATGGCCGCTACGAAGATCGTCCTGTATAAATTCGCAATATTTTTTATAGAGCTCTTCATTCTTTGAGAATCGTCTTTCCAGCATCAAATATCGTCGATGCGCTAAAGAATAGGTATCGAGAAAAATGGACATGGACACAGCCTCCTATAGTTAACAAGCCATGAAATTGGAAATGACGGCAACGTCGCGTATGGTGCTATTTTGTTATTGGGTTATGTGTTTCTGTGTATTGCTTTCATTGTGTATTGTTGCAATTTAGTATTTTTATGGGCATTATTGACGAAAAAGTGGATAGAAACACACCAATATATTGCCCATATTTAGTTGATACCTGTTCCTTTGTGCTTTGATTGCAAATTTTTAGCAAATGGGTACAGGAGCAAAAATGAAGGTAAGGTAAGGTAAAACAATAAAAACAATATTAATATTTGTCTGCAAGAGCATAGGTCTCGATATATTACCTAAGATATTTAAACTTGTTCCAGATGCCATGAAACTACTGTGTTCCTGGGTGCAAATCGAACTATTAGGAGTTCCTTAAAAACTGAAGAAATGCAAACATTTTTATTTCCAAAAAAATTCTGAAGTGCAAAAAATGTGGATGAAAGCAATAAACCAAGATAATTATACCCGAGATTATACAATACCGAAAAATTCTGTGGTGTGTTGTAAACATTTTGAAGAAACCGAAATAATTAGATTTGAAACAAACAAGGATAAAGGCGTAATTCGAGAGTTCAAACTAAAACGTCCAACTCTTAAAAGTAGGTACCTCTTATTTTCGAAAATCAGCTCAAGTATTTGAATGGACTTGCCTTCCGAAAAAATTCCGAAGAAAGAAAAAGTTAGATTTTCAAAAGACATACTGAAACATAGGCCTATAACATTTTAGACTCTAGAAATATATTCATTTAAATCAATTATTTACTGTTCTTATTTACACAAATAGTTAAATTATTCATTGAATTACTGTTTTTGGCCCTTTCGTACAATAAATTATGTATTTTTTGTGATTCATATTAATAAAATAAAAAATATATATTTATACAAACAAACACCACCAGCACCACTTGGCGGTAAGATTGCGGTGTTGCCTTTTTAACTTCATGGCTTGTTAAATGTAGGGGGCTGTGACATGGAGCGACGAAACGGTAGAGGTACCGAAAACCGGCCTGAAGAATCTCGAACAGTCGAAGTGGAATACAGTTTTTCGCACCGTTTATCTTCTTCAGATAAAATGGAAGGTTTTGAAATTGGTTCAACTTCCCAAAATTTCTCTAGTTGAAATTCAATATTATGGCTAACGGAAGCCTGAAGAGACACGGGAGGTTCTAAGGAGATCGAAGAAAATAGGCCAGTGGCCTTTCCTTGGAGGACATAACCAAAGACTGTCTCTAAGGCTATTGGCTGGTCTGGCTTGCCGAAAATCCGACCAGATTTTAAGAAGAACGGAACTAGCTCCTCACCTATCAACATGTCAATAGGTCCGGGAATGTCAAACCGAGAGTCAGCAAGTTAGATTGTAAATGTGCTCTAGATTGGCTCGATTGATTGTTAATTTGGGTTGATTAGAACAAACTGAAGGAATAATAATGGCTTTAAGTGGAAAGCTTGATGGGCTTGGTTGGCCACAAGGTTTTATAACGCATTGGGTAAGCCCACCAGATGTAGTCGTAGACATTCCGTTGGGACCTTCCACAGGAACAATAAATTTGGTACGATGGAGTCCTAGTCGGCGCACACACTGTTCAGAAACAAAGTTAGCCATATATCCAGTATCCAGAAGTGCTCGAATTTTCTGAAAATTTCCTCGAGCATCCTTTATCTCCACTTCACAAGTAGACAACAAAATGGTGTGCTGTGGCACAGCTAATGCGTTTGTATTACAATGAGTATTTATGATGAATCTATCATAAATAGAATAGAAATAAAAGGATTGACTTGGGTCAATATTCGATATAATTGGTACATCAGGAATAGATGTAGGGGCCAGATTCAAAATAATCATTTTTATTAAAGTGCAGAGCAGTATGATGAGGAGATTTGCAAATTCGACACTTGTGAGTTGATCCACAATTTTTAAGAGCATGAGGGGATACTAAACAATTGACACACAGGTTGTGTTGCTTAGCAAACGAATATCTGTCTTGTGGACTTTTATTTAGGAAACGAGGACATTTATACAAAGGATGGGCCTCTGTACATTCAAGACATCTGGATGCGCTTGAGGAATTCACAACTTGCGGAGCAACGTGAAAATTGTTTGTCGACCGTTTGAAGTGGTTTGTTGTAGGATTAGGTGGTTTGGGTTTATTTTTATTTAGAAACATGGACGAGGAGTACTGTATGGATTCTAGAGCGATGCATTGCCTTTCCAGAAAGGTAATAAGCTGTCGATAGGTAGGTAAAGCCGGACTTAAACTATTATCCAGTTCAAATTCCGTCCGGGTTTCTGAATCTAATTTGTTTGGAAGCAAATCTATATATATAAAAATCAAAGTTCACGGGGTATCCGGATATGCGCTCTAAAACCACTTATCCGATTACGATGAAACTTTGGTAGGTTATTATGGCCATCCCAAGGAAGGTTTGTGGATAGGTTACGCATCTCGGAAAAAGAAATTAATTTTGAATTAATTATTAATTTAATTGTAAACAAACTCATTCACATTACATAACAACATAACCCAACTTTTTTTGACAGCATGAAATAACGTTGACATATTTCATTTATTTAGGCTTGCATTCAACCGACGTAACTTTATTATTTTTTGAATTCAAGAACGGCTGGACCGATCTTGAATTAATACCACGTATCTCTATATAAGGTGAATTCGATTGACCCAGATTAGATCGATTTGGGTTCAATTTAAGTGAACTTCTTCTGATCTAGATCATTTTTTTGTTGATGAGGGTGCACTGATCCAGCTTGAATCGAACACAGTGTGGTTCATTTAAATTGAACCAGATCGATCTAATCCGGTCAATCGAATCGGCTATAGAGGAGAGTGATATAGGCTATTTTTTATCCCGAAAAAAAAAAGTTCGGTTGCGTAAAACTCTGATACACTGGAACGCCTATAAACAGCCCGGGGCGTTCTAGAGCAGCTCTGGAGTGCTCAAAATGCGTCACTGAACTCACTGGCAAGCGACTCTGATATCGGAATTAAAAAAAAAAATTAAATAGAAAATCAACAACAAAATTTGAAAAGAAGTGTATAGTGTATTATTTCAAAATGTATTTACACGCTGGCAACGCAGCGGGTCATTAGCTAGTTGAACAATAAAAATCCCATTGATCGACAGGCAATTGCAATCCGCGAAAGGCAGCTACATTTTCCGTAAAAACATTCACTAAAGATCGAAGTTCCTTAGAAGTAGGTCTTTGGATGCAAGGGGCGTGGTAAATTTCATTATAATATTGTGTAGCTAATATATGCTTATTCTGATACCTTTTTTCTAATAAATCATACGCGATTTGATAATTATTGTCTGTAAGTGGCAGTCCCTTTACTATTGCTAAAGGTTTGTTGACTACCGACGTTAACAGATATTGAAATTTTTCAACATTCGAAAAATCAGAATTATTGTGAATAATACTGTTGTACAAGTCAAAAAAATTCGGCCAGTTTTTATAGTTCCCATCAAAAACTGGCAATTTAAGTTTTGGAATATTAGCAACCATCCTGGAAGAGGTGGTTGGCGATGCATTTTGCAAACTAGTATTAGCCACGGAGACCGAGTCATTTATCATCAAATAATTTTTTATAGATTTTACGCCATAGTAGGCACTATCCGCCGAAATCCGCAATATATCGTGATCTTTGAATTCTTCCTCAGTTATTGATGATATGATAGTATTATGAGCACTTTGAAAGTCACCATGGATTCTATCAATTTCATTGGCTCTAGCTAAAAATGAGGATTTCAAAGCTTCATCAGTTGAAGCGTTCCTTCCAATTTCAAAGGATTCCTTCAAGCGTTTTTCTTTGTGAAACTGTTTATCTTTTTCGGTTTACCTCATTCACATTTTGTCTCAAAGAATTTAGGTTTTTTCCTTATACCTAGGTAAAGGGTGTGATATATATAAAAAATCAACCCCCTCCCCCATCTCATCAATGTCGATTGATATTATTGATAGTTCGTCGGCTAGATCATTTCTTCAAGGTTAAACTTGTCGAATATTCCAGTCACTGGACATAACAAAAGTTGATCAATACATACCTACATATGGGTTTGAATGCTATCTATTATGTTATTTCATAACAATAGGTTTACATTTTTGAAAGACTAAACTTTTATTTGATAAGAAACTGGTTCGCACAATTGTGCGGGTTTATTTGTTTTGAAAACCGAGGCACATACAATATAACCCCCAGCATTTTACTTAACATCCTTCTTAGACCTACGATAGAGAGTGAAAACAAATTTGTTGAATAAAAACTGCTTTATACCCTCCAAACATGTTTTTATTAACCAATTATGCTATATACATATCCACTCATGGACTATATTAAAAAAAAAAAACTTTTCAAGTTTTTATTTTACAAATGCAAAGTTAAGTACATTAACACAACTCGAGGAATGAAAATATTCAATTATATTATAATTGATGAATTAAAACTAAACAAAAATATCGATATTAACAAAAAAAATGTTTCCTTAAAACCTTTAACGCAATCACTAATCACAGTTTCATTTTGCCATTAACAATATCATCATAAATCTCTTGGGTCAAACCCTCGTATTCGGCTACTTTGGCATTATAAAAATACAATCTGTGATCTTTGATAGCATAATAATCAAATCCTTCCTTTTGGAGTTCGACTTTTTTAAGCTTGAAAGTCCCAGTCATCGGCAAACTGTCCATGATCCGAAGAAACATTGGGATCGCGTAGCCTGGCAGTTTTGATCTTAGACCAGATGCTAATTTTTCCAAGTCGAGATTATTGTCTGAATCTACTATTGCTGCCATGCCTGCTCGTCCTTCCGTACCAGGAATCTAGAAGATAAATTATTTTAGTTTTTTCGTGTCACAAAGCCCAACTGTTTAAGGTTCTAATTTTTAAAAGGATTAACAGACTAACTTTAACTGCTGCAGGCCATTATTGTTTATGGGAAAAGAATATATAGAACAACTGCGCCTGAAAGTAATTTAGTGAGTACAGATTGTAGCATGTGAAATGCTACTGTTAGTAACTGTTCCTTTTTCTTTCAAATATTGTTTTATAAGTTTATTACCTTAAATGGTGACAGTTTGATGACTGGCATTAAAAAAAAAAGGTTTTTGCTACTAATAATATTAGCAATTATTAAACTAGAGGGCACCATTTTCGTTTAGGTTTGAAGTACCAGTTTAATACCATACTTTCCGTAGGCTATTTGTAGAGGGGAAGCTCTGCCTGTTCATTTTTGTGCTTTTCTCAGTAGCTTTTAAATTTTGTCGTTCGAGCTGAAAGGTCAATCCTGGCTTGGGGGCAGCCATCTTCCTCAAGTATGAATACCGTTTTCGTGGAAAAAAGTACCCTATCAGCTATCAGGCACTATTTTAACGAAATAAAATTGCGTAAGGGAATAATCCATTATTTACCGAAAAATTTATCATGGAAAGTCTTGTGATTACCGTTTTATTTGAGTTTGAGTTTCGAACCCACTCGTGGTAAGTCTTTTTTAATTTTTTTGAGTAACGGTTGCTCATGGAATGCCTCTATTACTTAGGGTTTTCCGAAAAGCTGTTTTTCCGAGGAGCCGTTTCTCTCAACGAATCCATTTCCAAAAGGGCACATTTATGAAAGAACACCATTTTCGTGGAGCGTGACATAGAGCTTTTAAAGGGATTCCTAGAGGAATCAAGTCCCTCACGAGTCGATACGTATACCCCCGCATTTGACGAAGAAAACTGTATTTTTAGCCTTTATTCCACGCTAGAATCTGCAACTTCCATTTGCAACTTTTTTCGTCAAGTGGCCAAGAATGGATGGCTACCTTTTTGTTGGAATGGAGGCTTGTATAGAGTTTCATTTATAGCTTTTATAATTTTTTTAATGAAATCTACTTTATGGTCAATTAACAAAACTAATTGTTTTTTTTTTTCCTGATATGACATTTAAATATTTGAAATTTGAAATACCCCGTCCCACGACGTTTTTCCCAGGTAATAACTTCGGAACGCGTCATCCAATATAATTGAAATTTTTAGGATCTGGGTAACTTTTTATGCCGCTTCTACCATTGTCATCCAATTTCACCACGTTCGCTTCAATTTCGGTCAAGTGACGTCAACTTTCAAATCTTAAGTGTAACTCATGGTATATTATGGCATTTTTCGTTACAAAATTAAATTACAAAATCGGCAATGCCATATTTGTTGCGGCTTTGTTGAAGAAAATGATAAAAAATTATACAGTGGAACATACGATTCCGAAGTTATCTTTTGGGAGGAACCTCGTGGGACACCCTGTATATTAAATTTCATATTCTTGACACCTAGGTGAACTTTATAGTTATTTATACACCAAGTGAGTTAAATGAATGTTTATTCATGAGAAGAAAGTTTAACCCACGAGCCCTAGCAAGTGGGAAATTTTCTTCGTATGAATAAACATTTTAACTCACGTGATACAAAATTTTATCCCATTTTGTGGAAATTTAAAAAATAAGGTACAGGGTGATCCAGTATAAAGTGAACACCCCCTACCTTTTCGCTAAAAAAATTTTTTTCAAAAAAATCAAGATAGCCATTTGGTGTATTTTGTTACTAGGAATTTAGGAACGTTTTTCGAAATGTTATTAGATTGTTCGTTAAAGCACTGTGACAACAAAAGTAATTTTTTTAAATGGAACAACCAATATTTAAATCAATTTTTGAAACGCCTCTATTTTTCTCATTCCAAATACCAAAGTTTGTTAATCATTATTTTAGTAATTTGCGATATATTCTCACTTAAGATTCAAATAAGAATAGACGAAAAGGTATCAAGGTAAATCTAAATAATTTTACCTTTAATAAAACTACTGGTTATTATGTTTTATTTACGACTAAAGGCTCATCCTCAATCAATTTAGTAGCGAAGTGGCACTTCGGCACGCAAGCTAGGAAAATGTTGTTTAACGTTGGCATCCTCAATTCAATTCCGTGCTGGCATGCACGTCGACTCCGAAGTGAAGGTTGCAAGCTGCCAGCTTTTTCGATGCGTGCCGACTTATGTCATGCGCAGAACAGTGAAAAATAATTTAGGTTATCCTTGCGTTCGGTATTTTGCTCAAAGAGCAGAGCGGAGCCGTAATCACGTGAACAGCGAGCGCACAGAGCAGTTAAACGCTGTATCAGAGGGCTCGAAATTTTATTAAACGAACGTGAATGAGCCTGTACCGAGTACACTTTTTAAATAACGAACGGTAAATTCAAGCTCAGAGAACTCAGATCAAAATACCGAATGCACGGTATGTGACCGTACTACACGCACAGCAGACTGAAAATTGACAGCATTGAGGATGGGTATAAATTTTCCAGCACGCGTGCCAAAGTGCCACTTCGCTACCAGATTGATTGAGGATGTAGCTTAATGTATAATGTGCGTATTATATTTGTGATTTCGGCAGTATAATGACATATGTTATTCCTCCAGGGATTAATGACGAGTAGCGGGATTAATGGTCATTATTCCACAAAAGTGTCAGTATCAAACGTGTAGTGCTTGTGGATTTGTATTGAAAATTATGAGACGGATGAAATTTGTTCATTGAAAATCTCAAATAAATTAATTTGTCGTAAATAAAGTAGAGTATACTACTCGCATTAATGGCTATTATTCCCTCGGAATGTTACTCCCTCGCCGCTTACGCGGCTCAGTTCCTAATAATCCTCGGGAATAATAGCTATCATTATTGACTCGTGGTATAATCTACTATTCTTTACGACTAATGTATAATGTGCGTATTATATTTGTGATTTTGGCAGTATAATGACATATGTTATTCCTCCAGGGATTAATGACGAGTATAGCGGGATTAATGGTCATTATTCCACAAAAGTGTCAGTGTCAAACGTGTAGTGCTTGTGGATTTGTATTAAAAATTATGAGACGGATGAAATTTGTTCATTGAAAATCTCAAAAAAATTAATTTGTCGTAAATAAAGTAGAGTATACTACTCGCAATAATGGCTATTATTCCCTCGGAATGTTACTCCCTCGCCGCTAACGCGGCTCAGTTCGTAATAATCCTCGGGAATAATAGCTATCATTATTGACTCGAGTATAATCTACTATTATGATACCTTTTGGGCTATGTTTATATGAATTTTAAAGTGAGAATATATCGCAAATTTTCAAAATGAAGATAAACAAACTATATATATTTGAAATGAGAAAAATAGGGGCGTTTCAAAAATTGATTTAAATATAGGTTATTTCATTTAAAAAAAATTACTTTTGTTGTCACACTGCTTTAACGAAAAATCTAATAACATTTCGGAAAACTTTCCCAAATTCCTAGAAACAAAATACATCAAATGGCTATCTTGATTTTTTTGAGAAAAAATTTTTTTGCGAAAAGGTAGGGGGTGTTCACTTTATACTGGATCACCCTGTACAAGGAGAAATGCCGAGAGTGAGTTGAAAATATTTTAAATCACTGAGGTTTCAGATTTTTAGTTAGGCAGAGTGACTTAAAATGCCGAGAGTGAGTTAAAATCTTTTTAAATCACCGAGGTGTTAATCAATGATTAATCAATCAGTAATCTGAACAGAAGTAGAAGAAAGGTAAGACAACATGCTATAAATTTAAAATTATTGAGTGAGTACCTACATCGTCGAAAATTGATCAATTTTTAACCTTGGGTCCTATTTAACCTCACCTTCGATTTCAGACAGGTGCATGTTGATTTTATTGAATTTATTCTTTAAGCGGAAGCTGGCCATATTTATCAATACAATTTTCAATCATTTTTTTTTTTTTTTTTTTTTAAATTGGGTAGTTTTCTGGAAACTTAAATCTTTATATTTTCATTTCATGATAATGATATGGCCAGCAACTGTTAATGAATTTATATGACAAGTATATTGAGGTACATTGTAATATTATCTTTTTTTTTTTTTTTGAATTTGATGAAACTGATTGAGAGTTAACCTCTATTTATTGATTTTATTTAAAGTGTTTTACCAGCAATTGATTTTATACTTTGGAATTAATTATTACTTGATTTTTGCCTCACCGTGAAAATATACAGTAAGGGGCAGGCTACTAGGTATATAGGATGTAACCTGACGAATTTGCAGGCGTCCGCATGCCCCAAAATGACAAATACATTCAGCGGTAACCTGTCGAATACCAGGTGAAAAGGAAACGTAAAAAGACCTGCTACTCAAAAAAACCCATTCAACTTCTGAAAAAGTCCAAATTATTCAGTGGTTTCACGGACGATGGTAATTCATTACAACAAGTTAGAAATTGATTTGGTGAAAATTATTCTGATAGACCTTTTTCTACAAATACTACTGTTTCTAGGGTTGTTAATAATTTGAAAAAATACGGGTGTGTTTCTCACTGAAATCATAAACGGAATAACGTCCAGGAAAATAATGGGGAGTAAAAAGCAAGAGAAATTATGTTGTTGGCATTAGTTAACGAAACTGCAACCATGTCAACTCATGCGCTTGCGCCCGAGATTGACTTAGGTACAAGGGCGATGAGGAGGCTACTGAAAAAAAAAGGATGATTCGTACGAAGTACGAAACTACCAAAAAATTCATCCTGAGGACATCAGGAGGATGGAGTGTGAAACTGTGAATAATAAGGCGAATGAAAATGGAGATTTTCTTAGAAAAATTGTCTTTACAAATAAATCAATATTTCAACTCCATGGTTGACATAATCCTAGTCACACCCGTTATTGATCTAAGGAAAATTTGAATAGGTATTTTGAACTTCTTAGAACCCAGCGTCTTCGAAAGATGAATGTCTGGAGCGGTTTGAATGTAGAACATTGATATTGAGCCGTAC